GTTGCTGTTGCTGCTGTTGCTGTTGCTGCTTTTATGTTGTTGCTTTGTGCGTTATCTTTTTTCTCTTTCTTTCTGCCGCATCTCCGAGTCTACATATCTGTTTCTGTTGCTGCTGCTGCTGTTGCTGCTGCTGCTGTTTCTGTTGCTGCTGCTGCTGCTGCTGCTGCTGTTGCTGCTGCAGCATAGAGAGCGTCTGCAGCAGCGTCGCCAGCGTCTTCTCTCCGAGCGCCGCAGCGCGCTGCATGCGTTTTTGTCTCTGTCTCCTTCTGCTGCTGAGCTGCAGCAGGGGGGTTGGGGCTTTCTGCTGCAAGACAAAGACACAGACAAAGACAAAGACACAGACTCAGAACACTCCGATAGCTAATCACATACCTGCTGCTGCTGCTGCTGCTGCTGCTGCTGCTGTAGCTGCTGCTGCTGGAGCTGTTGTAGCTGCTGCTGGTGTAGCAGCAGCATAAGAGATAGGTAGCCTTCGACCCCCAGGCCGCAGGGGCCCTCTAGGGGGGCCCCCATGAGGGGGCCCCTGTGGGGGCCCCCTGAAGGAGGGGGTACCGCAGAGGAGGTGTTTTTTGTCTCCTTTTATTTGTTTTTTTTTTGCGTGTTTTCTGCTGCATGCAAACAAAAAATAAAAGTAGACAAAGCGCAACACAGGCACACACAGGGGGCCCCCTTCTCCATGGGGGGCCCCCTTCGTTCAGTGGGCCCCCCTGCTTGGGGGCCCCCCTTCTTGAGGGGGGCCCCCCTTCATTGCGGGGGCCCCTCGTATTGGGGGCCCCCCTCTTGGGGGCCCTCACTGTATTAGTTTGTATTTGTATGAGGGTAGGAGAAAGAAGAGACAGCAGGAGACTGTTGTGCTGCTGCTGCAGCAGCAGCAGCAGCAACTTTGTGCTGCTGCAGCAGCAGGAGGCGGGGGAGGAGACAGAGGAACAGAGATTTGTTTTGTTTCGGGTGTATAGACAGCTCAATGTGTGGGGTTATATTTTTGGAGGATTTAGGGTTTAGAGACTAGGGTTTAGGGTTTAGGGTTTAGGGTTTAGGGTTTAGGGTTTAGGGTTTAGGGTTTAGGGTTTAGGGTTGTTTAGGGTTTAGGGTTTAGGGTTTAGGGTTTAGGGTTTAGGGTTTAGGGTTTAGGGTTTAGGGTTTAGTTTTAGGGTTTAGGGTTTAGGGTTTAGGGTTTAGGGTTTAGGGTTTAGGGTTTAGGGTTTAGGGTTTAGGGAGGGTTTAGGGTTTAGGGTTTAGGGTTTAGGGTTTAGGGTTTAGGGTTTAGGGTTTAGGGTTTAGGGTTGAGCCCTTTTTGAGTGGCTAGCAGAAAGGAGACAAAAGGAGACAAAAGGAGACACTTTATACGGAGGAGAGAAAAACAAACAGAAATAAATAAATAAATAAATAAATATATAGAGATAGAGAGATAGAGAGAAACAAAGAAAAATAAATAAAATAAATACTGGATGGAGACAAACAAAGAGAGAAGAGGAACACACAGAGATAAATAAAAAAATAAAAACAAAATAAAAACAACAACAAACAAGAGACAAACATATAAACACAATAAACAAATAAATATAAAGACAAAAGACAAAGAAAGAAAACAAAGAAATATAGAAGCAGAGAGAAAGGGAGACAGAGAGTAGACGGCGGCGATGAGAGAATAAAACAAAGACACAAGGACACGGAAAGAGAGACAGAAGGAGACAGAAGGAGACAGAAAGAGAAACAAAAGGAGACAGAAAGAGAGACAGAAAGAGAGACAGAGAGAAAGACAGAAGGAGACAAAGACAAACACTGCATCTATCTCTATATCTATATCTTTATCTATATCTTTATCTGTCTCTCCTTCTCTCTTTCTCTCCTTCTATCTCTCTACCTCTCTATCTCTCTATCTGTCTCCTCCTCTCTATAACAACAAAACCCTAAACCCTCTCCCCCCCCAAACCCATCCATCTGCTGCTGCTGCTGCCTCTTGGCGTAACAGAGACAAAAGCAGCAAACTGCTGTTCTTCTGTCTCCTCTTGAGGGCCCCCATGAGGGTACCGGGGGGCCCCCCGGGGGGCCCCCAGGGCCCCCCCGGGGGCCCCCCGGGGGCCCCCCAACTCCACCTTAGCAGCGTTCGTCTTTATAATACAAAAGCGATGAAATAT